GGCCAAGTGACACCCCAGAACCGCAGTACCAACCCTCATGCAAGTCTGGGTCCCGCATACGAAGGTGTGAAAGTTTTGGCGGGAAAATTGATAATTCGGGAACGAGAAAAGATAGAAAGCTGAAATTTTGAGGTGCATTCCCCGTCCAAATATAACTGAAGGGCTTCAAATTTAGCTCCCAGATGTGTGTGGTCCCGCGTACAGCCCCGTGAAAATTCCTGGCGGGAAAATAGCCAACTCGGGACTAGCGAAGTTGGGAGGCTGAAATTTTCAGTGAGTGTTCCCAGTCCATGTACGAATTAAATTTATCAAATTCAGCCCCCAGGCATGCGCGGTTCTCACATACGGCTCCGTAAAACGGGAAAATGGCTAATCTGGGAGGATGAAATTTTCAAAGAATGTTCTTAGCATAAGTACAACATAGGTCTATCAAATTCAGTTCCCAGTCGTACGTGGTTCTCGAATGAAATTTTTTGGCGGGAAACAGCTAACTCGGGAACCAGAAAAGCTGGGAAGCTGAGATTTTAGGAGAATATTTCCTGTCCCAGTACAGATCAAAAGTTTCAAATTCAGCCTCCATGTATTCGTGTTTCTCGTGTACGGGCATTTAAATTTTTGGCGAGAAAATTTCATTGAACAGCTGAGTCATTTTTAAATAAAAAAGACCGCTGGACGGAAATTATTTATTTCCTTTCATGCAAAATTTACGATGATTTACGATATTGAGTGCACAAGGTAGATGTGAAGAAACAACCGTTCATGCACTTAACTTAATTACTTCAAATTTTGTGCAAGAACGCACGATCGCACCGGCTCGCCTGCTACGTTCCATACTGGGTTTTTCGGTAAAGTTGAATATTTCTCACACCCACCTGCTGGAAATTTCACCTCCAAGCAGAATTAAGACAGCACTTGAAATTAGAATATCAAAGCGAATTTTCAGCCTCGCACCTTATTCGATATGCGAAATTTCCACTTCACTATAAATGTCTTTGACGTGCCCCAAGTCGTGGCTTAGGCGCAAATCTGTGCTCATTTTAAGTATACAAACATGCTGACAAAATGTTAGCCATTAATTTCCCGCAAGTTTTAGAGTTAGCACAGTACCAAGTTGCAAACTTTGACGTAGTCGTACGCTCTGCAAAAGTGCGCATGGCAGCTGAATTTGGAATCTTTAGCCGCACATGCACAGAGAATATCCCCGCAAAGTTTCAGCTTTGTACCCTGCTCGATTCACAAAATCATTTCCCACCAAAGAAATTCGCATAGTTTTTTCGGGGGTCCGTACGTGGAATCTAGACGCGTATGGGGAAAGATCTTAAAAAGGGAGGGTGACACACGGGGTAGGAACATATACC